TTATTAAGTTAGATATTGTATTACCAAATTTCAGCTTTTGCGGTAGGAGATATCTTATTTTTTCATTTTTCAAGTCTTACTAGTAATTATATAAAAATATACAACTTTTTTCGAATATTTATTTACAATAAACGATTTAACGAGTTTTTCAATTTAAAGAGCTTTAATAAATAAATATTCACATTTAAATACTTATATACATAACATAAAATTGAACTGCATCAACATTTGCTGCGGACAAAGTATAAGCTCATTTCAGGTCCCAACAGAATTATATCCGACTGATTTCGGCTGGGAAGAGAAGGGGAACAAATTTATTTTTAAATGGTTCGAGGGTGAACAGCTGCCCTCTTCCCTTGGAGATATAATTATCGAGGATGAACAAAGAAATAGTAGAGGTTAGAATATACTAATATATTTCGCTCTATAATGAAATTTAATTATTTAAGTGTAAATTTTTGATTATTTAATTTACATATATGTAAAATACAATTTAAAAATATTTAAAAATATTCGTACTATATGTAATTATTTTTTATAATTAACATTTTATTAATGATATATAATTATAATAATAGTTATTATTATTATTATTATTATACAGGGTGTTTGTAAATAAGTGCGAAATATTTTGGGGGTGGTTGCCGAAGTTATTTTGCAAAATTTTTTATTCATTTTTTATTAATTATTTCAAAAACTTTTAAAGATATTGACTCGAAATTTGTAAAACACTTTGGAAGGATAAGTGTGTAAATTTTGGGATGATCCGAATATTTCTACTTGCACCAGTGGCGTTCGTGTGAGAATGCTACAACTTCTTTTAATAAACAAAAATGATACACTACTGACTTTCCCATTTTGATATTTTTTTCAGAAATCTGCCATCAATTGTGAATGAAATTAGTCCCTTCAATTTTTTTCGTAGGATGTATCGTTTTGAGGAAAAAAATAAAACAATATTTTATTACAGTTGCGTATTTTTAATTTCTATTTCTAAATAAAATGCAACCATCAAATTTCAAGACAATATCTTTAAAACTATTTGAAATAATTAATAAAAATAGATCAAAAATTAGAGTTTAAACACTGTATCTCGAAAATGAAGGATATTTCGACCTACGTTTATATGAATTTTTTTTCACATAATTACTTCGGCAACCACCCCATAAAATATTTCACACTTATGTACAAACAGCGTGTGATGAGGAAGAAATGTCAGGAATCGACATCGATTCCAGCGACCATGAGTTTGAGGGTAATGAATCAGAAAATTAAATAGACAATAGATTCTTTCACACATAACGTTTAGTGTAAATAAATATTTGGAGTTGTATATTTTTATATAATTACTAGTAAAATTTAAAAAATAAAAAAATTATACATATCTCATACCGCACAAGCTGAAATTTGGCAATACAATAGCTAACTTATTAAGTTAAATGAAAAAAATGCTCAGCTTTATATTTAGTGAAGGAAAAGTGATCAGCTTATAAAGTCAAAGATGTACGCGCTCGTGCGCATAACAATGTGCTGCACCTTCAACTCGTCAGCTGAGCACTTATACACCGCAAAAACTTCAGCGGACAATTTTTTTCGTATAACTGATTAAGATGACTATTACTTTACCAAATTTCAGCTTTTGCGGTATCTGTTTACCTAGCACATATTTTAGATGAAAAGCTGAGGCATAACCCCCCACTCTAAATCAGCTGATTGCGTTTTTTCGTTTGTTTATAACATAATCAACATGTCGACAAAGTCTCGGCTTTTGCAGTATTAGTTTGTTCTAATGACTATTTTTCGTGTTTGGGAGGTTGCCGCAACTATACTCCTCGGAAGTGCGCGAGCTGGAGGTCGATTCTCTTACTAGTGACACCAAATGAAGCATAGGAAAACTTTTCAGCTTTTGCTCCTTTGGTCATAAAGAAAGGTCGCTGGCTCCCGGGCTATAAGTTTCATCTTCAAGAACAAAACAATTTAGGAACCAGTCACAGAAAATGACACTTATAACATTTTCTTGTTTAATCGCCAAAACACTGGCCAGCTGTCCTTGTTTAGATTTTTGAGAGCACGAAGATTTAACGATCTATAAAGCATCAGTGGCTTAATTAAACAAACTTCTGATGCATTAGAACAGAGTATCAGCGTGACTCCATCTTTTGCTGCCTTAAAACCAGAGGTGGACTTTTCACTTTTGGTTATGAAAGTTTTGTTTGGGATTCTTTTCCAAAATAAGGCAATTTCGTCTGTATGAAACACTTGTTCAGGTTTGTATCCACCATCAGCAATTAACTTTAAAAATTCTTCAGGATATCTTGCTGCTGCTTCAGTATCTGCAGATGCAGCTTCTCCAACATTTTTGATGTTATGTAGTGATCGATACACCCTGAATTTATTAAACCAACCTTCCCATGCTTGAAATCCTCCAACAGTATCTTCGTCGCCAGGTTCTTTAAAATGTGAAATTTGCTTGAAAATACTATATTTGACAGTCTGTAACTCCGTTGTTTTTCAACGAATCTTGATGATTTTTTTTTTAACTTAAAGCTCTTTTCATAAGCTTTCCGAATATGTAATAATATATAACTACATCACGCACGTACGTCGTATATTTCGTTTTGCAACTAAGGCTAAAAAATAAAAAACTTTCCAGGTTGCAAATTTGAAAATTGAAAAAAAAAATGAATAGATTTCAATGTATTATTATGAAATCTATCATGAAAAAAATCATTGTGATTGTGGAAGATGCTCGGGATCGTCCAGACTAATAATTAGTTAATTTGTTTATAAGGCCATAACTTGTAAACTACCGATTCCAGATTTCGTGTGAATTATTAGACAAGGAATGAGAGGATGCGATGCCAAAACGTTTTGGTAATAATTACGCAGTTTATAAATGTTTAATTTAAAAGTCATAAATAAACTTTTTCTGTTTATAACTTTTGATCTAATCGATATTTTTTGACGCTCGAGGGCTAGTTTTGTAGGTTTTTTGAAGACGAAAAAAAGTACCTTATCTTAATATACGTAAAAATTATACAATTAACCAGCCTGTAACTAATATGTTATTGTACACTCGACGCAAGATAAAGGATTCCAATCTGAATCGTATTTTGTTTGAAATATGACGGCTTAACTGCTTGTCTATATGGGGCGTTCCCATTAAACTCGTGTGGCAATATTTTACTGTCACATCTGACATTTTATGAGTTTTGTACAAAAATGCTTTCCTGGTAGATTGGCATTTTTAAAATGGGACTAATCGGCAAACTCTTATAGCAGACCCCGTATGCATTTTTTATTATCTTGTTTCTATTAAAAGTTGCATTTACATTACAATAGAAAAATCGATTCATCCTAGTTAATAAATTTTGCGAAACGTCTACTACCTACTTACGAATAGTTAGATTGAATGGATTTAAGAAAAGTAAAAATTTTAATTTCTTTTTAATTTTGAAAACCCTGCAGCTTAAGAGCCTACGTGTGTGTAACAAAATTTACTTAATTTTAGCCACAGAATGGGCCTCTGGTTTTTTTCTGTATGCCATTAATGAACACTGTATAGGTGCCCGCAATGAAATTAGTTGAAGTTGTAAAGCATACAATTCTACATAAAAATGGCCTCTTGACTTTTTCTTGTACTATTAAAATTAACATAGTTAGGGAGGCTGGAAGTTAAGGGAAGATTTCAGAAATTTAAAAAATCATAAGCAGAAAAATGAATGAATTTTGTAATAATAATTTATTATTATTAAAATATTTGGAACACTATAGACGTGAATTATATACGACGCCTTGTTACGTCTACGCCAAGCAAATTACAAGCCGTTATTGATTCGGATGGTGGTTGGACATTATTAGACTGTTTTGTTTTTTCATTATTTATAAAATGATGTTAAAATAAGTAAATCAGTTCATAACATTATGGGCCCGGAAATGCTTCCTTTCTGATAGATGTAAAAATCCTGTTTTTCAAAATATTTCGAAAACGATTTAAGATATTGCACTGAGCTTTGGTGGCAGTGTAATATCTTAAATCGTTTTCGAGATATTTAGAAAAAACCGGATTTTAAATTTCTTTCGACATCTATCAGAAGGAAAACATTTCCGGAACCATAATGTCATGAACTTATTTACTTATTTTCACTTCCAGAACACGTCCTTAAAATATTTCCCTTTCCTCCCGAAACTGTATAAGTTATAATAAAACTAGTTTATTTTTTTATTTTGTTGACCTAGCTACCTACTTTCTGCAGAATATGACACAAATTCTTGTCTCAAAATATTAATTTTCTCAAGGATAAGAAAAATGATGTGGCAACACAAAATAATTTCAAAACCTGTATACTCTTCTCTTTTTATAATGCATATACTTCAGGCCTGCAATTTTTTGTTGTGTGTTGTTACACACGTGCCTACACAAAAAAAATATGACACGCCCCTAATTATTGACGCCTCCCAAAATTCCTATCGGAATCCGGCTCGTCTCTTTAAAAGTAGTATGCCTTTTAGGTTGGAAACCTTTATCTTGCTTCGAGTGTACATAATATTTAGCATCACATAGTGATAAATTCAGCATGTCGAAACAAAAAGTCACGTCCAACTGTATATTTCCTGGCCTCGTGGCGTAGGCGGCATTTATCAATGGCCATAGTGCTGTTGTTTGTTTATAAATATTTGAATACCTACTTGTTTATTTTGACAAATAAATACATATTATTCTAAAAATACAATATCGTTAGTTTTGGATTCACAAATATAGAATTTTTCACCCATGAATACGGGAAGTGGTCACAATTTTTTGGTTCACGAATAGCGAATCCGTGAATATGGGAACTGTAAAGCTTTGACTGTAGTTACAGAAATGTCTGTCCAATGCAATATAGCATAAGTCGTGCCATCTATTGTAAATCCCTCAAAATTAATTTACAGTACCGGTACAAGGGTAACACTGGTTTGGGTGACCCAAAACAACTTTTAATTATTATATATTTTATTAGGACTGGGTACCAATTATAGCTAGAGATGCTCAAAAGCAGAGAAGGCAGAATCCACAAGGCCCTTTTAGTGACGCTTATTTATCCGGAATGCCAAGTAAAAGGCGAAAAATTGTGACGAGTTCAAAACCGCAAGGCAGCCTTCCTCAAGTTATTACAGGTATTATCTCCCGATCACTGAATGCATACAGGGTTGGAAAGTCCCCATGGTTCATCGGCCGTTACGTGAGAGCGATAAAGTAAGTCATAGAAATGGGTGCGATAGAGAAGGATGGCTATAATGAAGGCGTCTCATAGTCACCGCCCGTTTCGCCCTTCCACAAATAAGATCTACTTCCACTTGTAATTTAGCGACCGGTGGTCATCTTTGTTTTCGTTGTTTGGCTTTTCTTTAATAGATGTCACTACTTATACAATTTTGACTTCGGTATTCCGATACGTGAATACCATCCGTTAACAGAGGGCAGCACAAGGCGTAACATAGAAAACTTTTTACAGTAGCTAGTAGATACCTCTGTTTGTAAATCTAGTGACCTTGTTTCCCCTACTGAGAAGTTATTCAAATGGAGTATAGTGCTCAGCTGCATTTAAAGTTCATTTAGTTGTTATCTAAGTATACTTTTTAAAATGACTTAAAAATCCCAAGAAATAAAGCAAAATTCCCTATTTCCCCAATTCCAAAAAAATCTGTAGATCTGGCATCGCTCTTTCTAGGGCTGCCCTCTGTTAACGGATTGTATTAACATATCGGAATATGAAGTTGGAATATAAGTAGCGACATCTATTACAGAAAAGGCAAAGGACGAAAACAAAGATGACCACCGGTCACTGAATTACAAGTGGAAGTGAATCTTATTTGTGGAAGGGCGAAACGGGCGGTGACTATGAGACGCCTTCATTATAGCTATCCTTCTCTATCGCATGGATTTCTATGACTTACTTTATCGCTCTCACGTAACGGCCGATGAACCATGGACACTTTCCGATCCTGTATATGTTCTTAATATGAAATTTCATAATTTTATTTTTCAACAGAGAGCGTAAGGCAAGCAGTAACGGCCACAGGCTTGTCTACGGTAGCCCCATTAGAGTCAGTGGCCCAAGCAGCAGGCGCGTCTCTAGAAATTCAAACAGCTTATAGGAGCTTGTTACGCACTAATGTGCAGGCAAATTTAAGGGATAATGAAGATTTTACACCCGAACGATTTCCCAATGCCGCAAATTATTTTAATAATACCTCATAATAAAAGAATTAGAATACAATATATATGTTTTGGGTCCTGTACATCGTACGTTCGGTGAACGTGACCTGTCCGCGGTGAGAGTTTAAATACGGATTTCGACGTTCGGTAAACTTTTATTTTGCCTGCACGACATTCACCGAATAGCGTTCGCAGAGGCTCGATTCTTGTAATCTGATATTAAGAGCATTGGTTGTATAATTTGATTAATCTGTTTATATAAAATTTTTAATTTATCATAATTTGCAGGTATGTATGTAAAACTGAATAAGTTAACCAATGGACGATTGAATAGTAAAATAAATTATGATATGTAAATTATTTTGTAATTTTTCTCCCATTCCTTTCGTCATAGGCTACTAAAACAGGTATGAAATGAGGTTATAGGTTATAGCGATACGTACGAGGGTCAATCAAATATAAACGAGAATTAATTTTAAATTCACAAAAAATTTCCTTCCTTTGAAATATTTTTCCTGCCTGTTCGGAAGCTTTTTGATTCCATCGCTGTAGAAAGAAGGACGGCAGGTTGTTGTTAGCAAGTTGCCCTCCCAAAATAGGCCAATCAATATAGGTTTTTTGTGTGACAAAAATACCAACAGCATACCACCTGTGCCATCACTTAAAAGAGAGTCGGTAGATATACTCTGATGTGTTTTCGACTCGCAACTCTCACTAATTCATTTGTTATTAACATTTTAGTGCAAAAAAAATAGCATTTTTTTTTAGTTTTTTTGCTTACAAAACCAAAACTACTACAGCAATCTCAATTTCGTCAATGGAAAAGTTGTAGGAAATTCAATTTTGAAGAAAACGAGAGGTTGAGCGTTCCGATCGGTTGATTAGAACCGGAGAAAATTCGGCATTATTTTCAAAAATTCATAACTTTGTCAGTTCTGAAGATTAAGAGCTGAAATTTGGCACAGACGTAGATAATTATATCAACTTTAAGTGTGCAAAAGGCAGGTGCTGTCGGACCTTTAGTTTTTGCGCAATTGCAATTTCAAATTTTTTATGCATTTTTTTTGCCAAGAATCTATGCGTTAAAAATGGTCCGATTTTAATTCTAATACCGGTTTTCAAAATTAGAAGTAAAATACTATAAAAAGTATATTTCAAGTTTTCGTTAAAATGCCGCAAAATGAATGAAACATGCACTTGAACATCGGTATAAATGGCCGAGTAGTGGGGGAACAAGAGGAAGCAACGTTCCGTGCAGCGGCCTTGTATACCTATGTACGCTTCCCCTCCTTCCCCACTACTAGCACGCTTGGCCGTTTACACCGTTGTTCAAGTGCATGTTCATCAGTGGCGGCGCGTGAACATTGATTGAACATGTTCTGCTTAGGGTTGTTATATTTGTTGAATTGAATTCAGAGATATTAAGTGCCCAGAGTCTTTAAGTGGCGCCGCAGGCGAAAAATTTTAAAATTTTCAAGTTCGCACGGATTCCTGGCACTTCTGAATTTCAAGGAACATTCCATTTATACAAAAATATAGATTTTCACAAGAACGATTTTTGAAATATCTATTCACAAATTACCTCCTGTCGTTATAAATAAATTGGAATAAACTAAATATATTTTATTAAATTATTGAATATTGTTTATAAACAAAAAAATCGTTTGTGAAGACTATTGGCGCAAACATGCCTTATCCGAAAGTTGATAGTTTCGGAAATACAGGGTGTTGAAAGTTAACATTTTAAATCGTTTTTTGCGATTATTCTGAAAATATGTAGATTAGGAACTTGAACATTTGTAAACCTATATTTTTTTAAGCGACGAATAAGGTGCGTGTTGCAATTTCAGCGTTGCTCATAGAGGGCGCCACATACGACCAATTTTACCGAAAATTTAGTTAATAACTTTTTACCCTGTGTGTCTAATATGAAACTTGATTCAAAACCTGAAATGAGAAATCATTTTTCTATTAATTATGTACTCTTGTTTCATTTCGGGATCTCGATCCGTTTTTGAGAAAAATCGATTTAACGAACACTATGTCTTGATAATACGAGAAATTAAAAGCAAAACAAAAGTGTTTCTTCATGTTATTACAACAATTAACAATAAAACAAATGAAATACGTAATAATGATTTAAAGAAATTGTTCGAAGAATCCATTGTTGACACTTTACACGTTTTCTGAGAGATCTTCGAGTTTGAAACAACATATTGGGATTGAGTCTGACTTCGTTGGTAGCGATTTGTATTCTTTGCCATGACTCTTCACGCGAGCCAATAGATTCTTTGTAAACTATCTCTTTCATTTGAGACCAAAAAGAAAAATCAAGATGATTGAAGTGTGGACTTCTGGGTAGCCAAGCAAAAATGCTTACATGGCCAATCCAGCGACTTGGAAAAACTGCATCTAAATATGCACGCACTGGCCGAGAAAAATGCGATGGAGCTCCGTCGTGTATGAACCACATGTCTCTTCTTAAATAACGTAGAACTTCTCCAAGCCGTGGAAGCATTTTTGTTTGGCCACCCAGAAGTTAGGACTTCAATCCCCTTAATTTTTCTATTTGGTCTCGAATGAAAGATATAGTTTACAAAGAATCTATTAGTTCGCGTGAAGAGTTATGGCAAAGAATACAAATCGCTACCAACGAAGTCAGACTCATTCCCAATATTTTCTTTCAAACTCGAAGATCTCTCAGAAAACGTTGTGTAAAGTGTCAACAGTGGATTCTTCGAACAATTTCTTTAAATCATTATTACGTATTTCATTTGTTTTATTGTTAATTGTTGTAATAACATGAAGAAACACTTTTGTTTCGCTTTTAATTTCTCGTACTATCAAGACATAGTGTTTGTTAAATCGATTTTTCTCAAAAACGGATTGAGATCCCGAAATGAAACAAGAGTACATAATTAATGGAAAAATTATTTCTCTTTCAGGTTTTGAATCAAGTTTCATGTTAGACACACAGGGTAAAAAGTTATTAACTAAATTTTCGGTAAAATTGGTCGTATGTGACGCCCTCTATGAGCAAGGCTGAAATTGCAATACGCATCTTATTCGTCACTTAACACGTTGACTGCGAGATAATCTCAATGTACTTTGTCCGTGACTGTGATACATATCTTTGGGGATATGTAACAAAACTTCTTCTGTGTGCGGTACATATCCCTGGGGATATGTATTTTTTTTTTTACATTTGACCCTATAAAATTAAAAATAATACAATTATTGCTATAAACTTGCATGTACCTGTAACTATATATCCTAGGATACTAACGTTTTCATTCGGAAATAGTTTTGAAGAGAAAATAACAGAAAAATCATTATTTCTAAAAACTACAGATTCTGCAACTTCCACAAGATACAGTAAAAATGTGATTATTGAGATTCGCATATTTTTTATAATGAGTACATACCCCCCAAGGTATGTACCGCAGTCAACGTGTTAAAAAAATATAATTTCACAAATTTTCGAGTTCCTAACCTACATATTTTCAGAATAATCGCAAAAAAACAATTTAAAATTTTAACTTTTAACACCCTGTATTTCTGAAACTATCAACTTTCGGATAAGGCATGTTTGCGCCAATGGTCACCATTTCACGTGTAGTTTATTCAGCTTTCGATTTTTCCCATTGTTAATGAATCACCCTGTATGTACATTATATTATATTCCGGGAGTTATACATGCAAATCCGAAATCCGGAACCATCACAGAAAATCCCGGTCATACCCATGTGGCTAGATGTTCTTTTAATATGTCGTCAAGATTTGCGCTAAAATTTATGAGTCCATGAAACATATCAGGGTTGTCCGAATTTTCTGTCTCGTCGTGTCCGCGAAGTGCTAATTCGAAAGCTCCGCAAAATTTTATGCAATCTGATTTTAGATAATACATAACGATTTTTCGTTACCTGTTCATTGTGTTTCCGTATATTATCCCAATATGCAGAATCTAACTAACTTCTTATGTTTATTTTATTAAATCTTTCACACCGTATTGTCTATGCTTTATCCTCGCCGAAAAGTAAGCGCGGAAAACAAAACGGTGTATTTTTTACATCACACCCGCACACCCACTCTGCTTTTGTGTATACATTATTGTTAAATTGTCTTCATTTATTTCTAGTTTATCCTCATAAGGCATAGAACCAAATAGTTTTTTTTTTAAACAAAACGCTATTCATTTTAATAACTATAATATCCGTAGATGCCTAAACGAAAATATTCACACGTGCCGCTCGCAGAAATAAACCACCACATACCACGTACGAAATATTACTGCATTTACTGCAGCAGTGGCTGTCGTTGCAGCCACAAAAGCCGATATAAAAGTGTACTGGGTCACGTGCCTGATTAGCCAATAAAAACAAAAGGCGCATCTAATTGTTCGCTGTGCACACATTTTGTATATGAGGTTGCATATATTAAGAAGGGTAGCTCACGTCGTAATAAATAATAATATAAGCTCCGAGATTTATTTTAGTGCGAGTACATTTGGATTCTTTAAATATTTTGTTGATATTTAATATGATTAAATACATAAAATTTTATGTGTTCTGCAGCTCCGCAGCTCTTATGGTAAAACTGCCACTGGTAAATAGGCAACAAGCAATATATTTTTATAGTTTTTATTACACAGTTCGTCTAAATACGAATTAATGCACAAATAACAGACTTTCCTACATTCTAACACAGATATTCCATGACATGGAGTTAGTTTGAAACTCAAATTACTTTTTGTTGTAAAGAAATTTATAATTTGCCGCTTTTAAACCAGCGACATCGTAAATTACAAATTTCTTTACACTAAAAAGTAATTTGAGTTATAAACTAATTCCATTTTATAGAAAATCTGTGTTAAAATGGGGGAAAGTCCGTTATTTGTGCATTCATTCATATCTAAACAAACTGCGCAATAAAATCATAAAAATGTATTGCTGGTTGTGTATTTGCTATAGAGCCCTCTTAATTCCACAGCAGTATATGAAAAATAAACATTAAAATATCCCAAAATGTTGAGAAACAAGGTACCCTAAATTTCTGTTTGTATGTTTCTACGATAATTTTAAAATACTTTGAGATATCGATTAAGATATGGTACATATATTTTCTTAGAGAATAGAATTTTTATATTACTTTTAAGCAAGCAAAATAGGAAACTGTAATCTTATAAATAATGAATAAGAAACGTGCTACCATATAAACTTTTATTATTATACTAACATAATAAATGTTCAGTCCTCATCCTCGATATCTTTGGTATTGGTTTACAAAAACGTAATAAAATTCAAATACTATTTCGGCTGTATCAAGGCAAAAGCTTGTATCTTTAGTTGCTATAATTGTTACGAGTAATCTGTTATAGGGTATAACACTACCTACTTGGATTGCTTTTTATTCCTGATATACAAGTAGATTAGGCTCATTTTTGTCTGCGTTTAATTGGTTTATTCTGAAATAAATATAATATTAAGTTATTATATCTTCCGTTACTAGAGCAGAAAAATGTTTTAGGTCCAGAATAACGTTACAAACAATAAAATTGAAACTTTAGGCAGGAATAATATAACAACTCTAAGACATTATTCGTCATCATCAAACATTTCCTATTAAAATTCATATTTTTGTAATTTGTAAAAAATAAGGGTAGAACAGGAGGATAAATGAATATAATCATCGAACAGTAGTTTTATATGTACAAAGTATTTCATATTTAGAGCAATTCACAGCTGGTTTTTGCACTGTACATTAAATCTTAGATAGATAAAAATGTATTTTTTTTTCATTGAACATATTAAAAAAGCTTATATAAAAACATAGGTTTATTGACAACTTACATATAAACTATATTATGACGAGTCACTCTGGCAATTGTCTGGATTAAAATCTTCATCTTCATCATCATCAAGGTCCAAATCATCGAGATCTTGAAATAACGATTCATCTACTTTTACAGCATCACCTTCATCTAAGAACTTAAGGTCTGATTCATTAAGTGTATTATCCGACATAAATAATTCTCTCCCCGTTAATTTCTTCCCTTCTTTTTCTAACATCTCTCTTTTTTTTGTTATGCCCATTTCATCTTCAAATCGTTGCTTCCACTTCATGAATGTCTCTACAGTAACTCTCGTGCCTTCAAATCTTTTCCTTTCAGCTTCTTCCTCTTTCTTTAGTTTCAAAGCAGCTCTTTCTTCTTTTTCTTTTTTAGTTTCTTCCCATTTGACATTTAGCCATTCTTGTGCTGCTGAAACTATAGTAAATATCATAACCATTCCCAAATTTTCTTTAATCTGTTCATCTAAATATTTAAGAAAATTTGTTTCGTAATCTTCAAAATTTTCTGAATTTTCTATTTCTATTATTGGTGACTCTTCTGGATATTTCGAAGTATATGTAATTACGAGATCACAACTTAATCCATTTTCAGAATCGGGCTCATGTTCTTCTGTTTTTATAGGTATTGAAAACTTATAATGAGGTTCTGTTGACATCAATTGGAAATCTCCGTAATATATTGATTCTAAAGCTTCAATTTCATTTTTTTGTTCTTCTGCATAGTCCATAATTTTATTTATTCTCTTTTGGTGCTTATTTACTTTAAATTAAACCAAGAAACATTTATTAACCTCAATACTTGACATCAAATATGAGGTTAATTTCATATTCCTCTTCTGAATTAAATGGCAGAAAATAGGTAAATTAATCAATTCTTCTTCTCCCTCTTTAATTTCATGTACCACTGATTTTAAATACACAGATACGACATACTAATTTACGTTATGGTCCAAGGATCGAATTATTTATGAGGGGCATTTACGTACTGTTATCATATTTATTTATCCAGTTCGAATTACAATGAGTACATTATTTACTGATAATTCGTAATGTTCTATGCTTTGAAAAATTCCCCATTTTTGAGATCAAATTTGCACTTAATTCAAAATTCGAAAGAATTTTGTTTTTATATTTTACTTAATGCGCGTCAATCGAACTTTACTCATGTAATTATGATAATTAATGTTATGATTACTAGGTCACTGTAAAACGTGTACTAGGAATAAAAGCATTGTGCATGTTTTCATTCATTGAATTCCAGCTTGATTAAATGTTTTTTAAATTAATCTCTAGAGAAGGTATCTACGCCAACTCTTTTAGCCCTTAAATTGTTATACTCTGCACTACTGGAAGTGGAGTGAAATTATGCATATTTCTAGGGATGTTATCCTTCTTTTTTAGATTAATGATAATCTGTCTGTTGAACCAAACTGGATATTTTTTGCGTTGTCGCGTTTGGGTATGCATACATCAAAAATATTGTAAACTATACTATAGAAATAGTTAACTGCATTATAACCACATACTTTGTGTATTATACGCAGGCGCTATGATTCATTTTCCCATTGGTCGGTTTGTCGGTTAAGGTCATTGTCATTTCCAAATATAGGTTTTGAATTTGAATAGAAAGACAGCTGAAAATGATTTGGCAAACAAAAAAAAAAAAGGAAAGGAAACGAGGCAGACCCATAAAAAACATGGGACCAAGGACCAAATAGTGGCAGAAGACTTAAAGAAAAGAGGAACAAACTGGCATGAAGCGATGAATCTAGCAAAAAATAGAAAAGAAGACAAAATTTGTTTATAAGTAAAAATGTATATCTTTACACCCTATGGATACTTAAGGTTTTATTGATTGAGGATTTTTATTAATTAAGGGTAATGTATTGATGAAATTGGCTAAAGCAAATTTTTACGTGTCCAATCAGTAGCTAGAAATTCCACATTTTGCTAATGCATGAGACTTCGTGTTTCATGGTGAACTCTTACTGTTATATATTAAAAGGAGACGAGTAGTTTCCCTTTATATATTTTTTGTAAATGTCACAAGAAATTATTTTTATAACTTGTGAAGTTACAAAGCCCGCTATATATGAAACCACATCTTCTACATACGGCGAAAGGTCAAACATGGTTTTTACATGATCATGTTCAAATAAAGAAAGGACACTTAATGTACCTACTTGTGTTTGGATCACAAACTGGATCAGCTATTTTATTTGAAAAATAATACCTAAGGACAATTTATATCTAAAACTGGCACTGCTTCAATGTGTTCTAAGATCTTGACTAAGTTTGCATTGTATATTTAATAAAATAAGACTTGATATTTAGCATATATTAGAAAATCAAATTGAATCTGGTACACGAAACACTTAGGTTAATATGATTTATATGATTTATTTTTTTTATTCATATATGTGTTAGTTAAGGTAGATAACTCGTTATTATTTTTATGTATATTTCTACATAATGTGTATTTTTATATGAATTTTTGTGAAGATGCATCGATTTTAAATTTCAAAAAATGTTTACTATTTTATATAAATAACACACTTGGACTCTCTTTTGGGTTCCGTTTTATTGTACCCATTTTATTTTACATTCACTATCTAACATTCTCATAAATTACAATTAACAAGTTGTATAATTAGATATACAAAATAATAATTGGTAATTTTGCTCTGTTAATAGTACATCAGTTATTAAATTTCATTTTAAATAATCCGCTAAATTTTCGGGCTTGCGCAAAATTGACAAAGTGCAACATACACACTTTTTATCCCCTCTTTTTGGGAACAAGGTCATTAATGTAAATGTAAAAGATATGCAGTGCTTGGTATATGTATAGAAAGAAGTATGTGATTATAACGTCTTGAAGATTTTCAATTATTCTCCAGTCTACTGTCACAAATGACTCGTATAACAATTAAAAATTGGCCTTTTTATATTTATAAGTAGACACGAATGGAGTGTGAGCTTTGATGAATTGAATTTTATAAATAAGTCTATACTCGATGACGGATGATGTATGTCTTATGTATGTCTTCATTAACTCGACTAAATAAGCTACGGTGGACAGTGCAAAGCAGATTTGATATTACAATATCTAAAAGGCGGCTTATGTAATTTGTTATTTTATTATACTGTTGACAATAAAAAAACTGCAAGAAATGCACTAGCTCCATAACATAATTGTCATTTTAAAAGTGAAAAAACACGTAATTTTGCCACTTATTTGCAATTTGCCGACTTAGCGTCAGTTCTTTCGAGTTACTTTTTTGATATCATTCTACATACCCTTCCCCGTCATAAAGTGCAATAAAATAATACTAATATATTTTTTTCACGTTCAAACTCTAATTCGACTGGAGTAATACTGACACTGACAGCGCGAGGTGCATGTGATCATTTAAAGTATAGGTACCCCACGTGTTGGTAAAAGAAGATGTGGTGAATCGTTTATATTTAGCATAGTTTTTATCAAGTAGGAAATTTTTTCAGTGTCCTCTAATCTTCCAAATTGAACACAAGTATATTATTTTAAGTATCTATTGCAATTCTTGGCACAAAGCCTTTAAAATTCTTTAAACTATTTTACCCTTTCGTATAATAAAAAATGATTGGATCATCTAAACAAGTGAACATGGTCAGAGGTCACTCAGTCGTCAACTTGGATATTAACAATTAGATATTAGCTTACTGCTAGATATTAGTCGCATAAATTATTTAATAAACCAAATTTTGTTATTAGTTTGTCACTTGTAGATATCAATGAATAGGCGACGCCTACATCTATACATTTTCTGTTTGTAATAATGACATACTGACTGAGCTCAGTTAGGTCGCACGACCCAACTTTTGACCCTCAATAAAATCTCAATCAGACAGACCAATTACGGCGTCATCAGATTTATTGTTGAATCTACCTACTATTTTCTGGAATGTAATTTAAATAAAAATGATAGTGGAGATTAGATTTTCTTAAGAAGTACCTATTAAGCAAATTCAAATAGAAATAAATAATTATCCAAAATAAAAACTAAAAATGACTTTTGCGTTGTTTATATATAGGTTGTCCTAGAATATGTGGGCAATCTCTTGGATTTATACAGGGGACGTTAAAATAACATGACAAAGTCTCTATAAAAATTTTCCCTAGAGGGCCCCTCTACGGAGATATAGGTATCTACAAGTATTAAGATGGCGCAGGGCCTCATAATTTCGCAATGGTGTGTCAATATTTCAATCGACGCTTTTCAAATAATTGGATTGACACTCATGAACTTGCAGCTTGGCTTCCACGGTCTCCATGCCTCAACCCTTTAGATTTTTACTATAAGGTTGTTCAAAAGATACAATTTATTACAGTTCCTGTGAAAACATAGAAGACACGAAAGAGTTTTTGCTGCTTTTAGGTATCTTCACCACAAAGTATTCAAACGCTATAGACAAAATTAGATTGAGGACTGACCTTTGTCTGCATGAGAGCGGATTGCACTTTAAAGTAGTTATGTAGGATTTGTAGAATATTTTTGTATTTCGTTTTATTGAGTATTGATTTTTGTTTTACGTCAAGAACAACTAGATTTTATTAATTTTTTAAATAAATTATTGAATTTCTTTAATTTTATCTTCAAATAAAATAGTAGTGTTACATATTGACGTGTTCGTAATTTTAATTTCTATCTGTTACTGTCAAGATCCAATATGGCGTCCACAAGAAAAAAAAAACAATTGAATGTTGCATAACTGAAACTAGAGGAGGTAGAAATTTTTTTCGACGAAAATGGATTCCTCATATCCTCTATTACCCAGTACCAAATTTCAGGTCTTTCTGTTGTGAATAAGGACGCTAGACGGCATTTTCTAAAATCGCTATTTTCAGTTTTTTCACAATATTTCAGGAACGGCAGTAGATATCTTTGATCTGTTTAGTTTATTTTAATAGCCCTGAAAAGGCGCAACTTTTTTGTATTTTGCGCCACCCTATATATGTTACGGTTTTCCAGATGTCAATGATATGCCATGAAAATCGAACCACCCTGTATACTAATTTGCTGCCCCTACACACAAATTCACTTCCTATTTTACTATTGTCTACATCACTTCTATTAGCTAATCTACACAGCGACACCAAAATCACTCCGACTGTACCACCCCTGCGCCCAGCGACTGAATATATGTTACACTTTAAAAATGTATACCCTTCCAAACACTATTAGATTCTACATACTTTCCTAACATCTAGCGTTACACTACTAGCCCAGTAAATGAAAAAAAAAAAAAATTGTAAAAAAATTCGTTTCAGATTGAAACTTGGTTTAATCGTTAGTTTAGGCAAAAAGAAATAATATTTCCCAAAAAGTATAGGTTTAAAACAACAAGATCATTGTTTAAACAATGATTTATAATGTAAAAATTACCAAAAATGGAGTTTTTTAGCTGTATTAAAAAGCGCTCGCCAACAGAAGTTTCAGCTTTTGTTTATACTTATAGGTTTTCAAAAGACGCTTCACCTGCTAAATTAAGATCCATTAAAAATTTGTTTAAATAATTGCAAAAAAAAACAGCGAAATTTGAATTTGCTATAAATAGAAGAAAGGAGCATAAATCGTCTCTAAACTGCAATAAAAGTTGTATTTTGTTACGCTTAAGAAACCCTGAAAGTTTTTGCATTTGTTTATTAGAAATAGCATTTCTTCAATTGCCAAAACGCGGTCTTAAGTTATATTTTCAAGATATGCAATTGAAAATTGTAATTTCATAGGCTAACCTCCTCAAAACGGCGTATAAACAAATAGTGCAATTTGTTTATAAGGCTTTTCGTTAATAACT